AGGAAACAATGCCATCTAAATATGGCAGCATAGACCCACATATGATTTCACAGAGACTGTTAGCATGAACAGGGCCTGCATGGGTTTGCACTAGAAAGGGATCCCAGAATTGACAGAAGAAATATACAAAAATCAAAATCTCTAACCCAGAACATATATCCTAATGGTAATGACTCACAGATAAAAAATTAGTTTTCAGGGCTAAGAAAGGTATCCCACTGTATGGAATGGGCTACTAAAAGCCAGATCATACTGACAGATCATAATCCTACTGCCTGGGGTCCCACAACACACCAGGCTACACAACTCTTAACCACATGCAGAGGGCCTAGTTTGGTCCCATGCAGGCTCCCCTTGTCAATCTAGGGTCCATGAACTCCCTTGAGTTCACGTCAGGTGTTTCTGGGTTTCCCTGTTATGTGCCAGGCTTTCTTGACTCTCCATGAGAGTCCTTACCCTTTTTGAGGATTGGATGAGGGGATGTTTAGTGCGAGGTAAGGGTAAAGGGAGAAGGGGAAGGAGGAGGACTGTGGTTGATATGTAAAATGAATCAAAATTTTAAAAGAAAGATGAGTTTTCTCCAATGGACTCCACAATGTATATAAACCACTCTAAAGGGCAGCCCAGCAGGAGATAGCCAATACAAAAAGAACTCAATTGAATCTTTGAATATTTTATTTATTTATTGAATTTTGTTTCAAATTGCTTAGGTTTATTTCCTTTTCATATTATCTATTTATTTATGTTGCCCTAAAAGTACTTTGTATGACATTATGGCTTCCTGTTTTATGCTTATGGGATGTCTGTATATTTCAATGTTTGCCTCTCTTCATCTGTATTTGTTTTTGTGCTTCCTTGGATTTTCTCTTTCTGTTGTTTTGTTATATTCCTGTGTTTGTTTTGTTTTATCTTATTGCATTTTATTATTATTCTTTAGATGCCACTTTGTTTTCTAATGAGAGGCAGAAACAGAGTGTATTTTGATGGAAGAATATCTGGGGAGTACTATGGAGTAGTTGTGCGAGGGCAACTTTAATCAGAACATATTATATGAAAAGATGTATTTTCAAAATAGAAAACTAGAAAATATAAAGAATGATTTTAGTGGTTACCTTTGTGTGGCACAATGATAGGAATGCAGAAAGATGTCTTCCACAAGGATGATGTCACACAGACCTTGAGTGACGATTTTTCATTTAGTAGTTTCATCTATACACTTTCAAAATCTTTTTGTGTTTTTCTACTCCTGTAGTTTTCCAAGAACATTTTGGTATATTATTAGATTAGCTATTACTCATTTCAAAGCACTCAGGCAAGTGCTCCATCAATCCTAAAGCCTCTTTAGATCCTATAGACTTGTTCTCTGGAATTATCTAAGATATAAATACTCTGCACTTTTACCTATGAGGGATTCAGCTCTCTAATTTCTACAATCAAAATTGGCTCAGAAGGAACCCTTAGGTATTAGAGAAAGGCCATCTTTTCTGTTAATAACACTAAAGTCCAGCCTTTGAGATTTCCTCAATGATCTTCTCTTCATTCTGGTAAAGCAATTCTATTTTGACATAGATATTGTTTCCTTCGGATGTTAAATAATTCTCAGTGTCATGTTTCATGGGCTTTCCAACATGTAATTTTTTAAAGTATGCTGAATCATATACATTCTTGAGAATTTTTTAATTTTTATTTTTAAGATTACAATATAGTAACATTGCTCCCTTCCCTTATTTCCTTTCAAAACCTCTCATATCTTCCTCCCTAATCAAATTAGTAGGCAATTTTCATTAATTTTTAGTCAGTGAAATATATATATATATATATATATATATATATATATTTGTGTGTGTACATACAATGTTACTTGTATGTATGTTTCAAAGCTAGAAACCATAATCAATCATAATTTAGAACTGTGAATCCCAGTCTCAGGAGATTTATTTATAAAACCCTCCCATACCCAAGGCTAAGGGAACACTTCACAAAAGGGGGAAACAGACTGTATGGGCCAGAGGATTGCCAAATTTGCTGTGAGACTGTGACTCTTAGCAAAAGCTACATACACTGTTACAGTTTCACCAAGTTGACTTTCCAAAAGTGAGCTCAATAAGATGGCACCAATCAATATGGCAACGTGAAGGGAGAAAAGCCCATGAGGTGTCAACCTCATACAGAGAACCATAGACAACTGACAGTTCTCTTCAATGGCTTCCAGTTACTCTTTTGAGGGTGTGGGTGTGTGGGGTAGGGGTAGAAGTTGTCACAGAAGCCCTCTTTCTCAACTGTGAGTCTGAAATCATTGACATGCCTGCAAAAGTAGCTTCCTTGCCCTTTACAGTTAGCAGGAACATGGGCCATGGACTTCCACATGGCAACAGCAAAGACCACAGACCTCCATACTTTAAGAACAAGGAATTTTAATATTGTACTAGGAGACACAACAAAGAAAAGTCAGAAACAAATCATCAAAACCCAAGTATATTTGAAAAATTTTAACAAATGTTGAAACTAACAACTTAGTTGGTGAATTTAGTTTAATTCTTATGATAAATACATACATAATCAAAGTTCACTCCAAATTTATTAAAGATAAGTTTTTTGAAGAAACAACTGAAAACAATGAATAATAGTGATAATATTATTATGAGAATATTGAAGTTTATAATTGGGAAGTGAAAAATTGTAAACTAGATGATAAACAAAGAAAATTATTAAGTATATAACATATAACTATGAAATTTTATTGTAAACTGTTTTTCTCTGAAAGAAATGGAGAGAAAGTAAAACAAAATATGCATGGCTTTTTTATATAAGGATACAGACTAATTAATAATCCAAACACTTCTTAAGAAATTTAAGAAAAAGTCTGTGGTGGCAAGTGCTTGCTGCCCAAGAATGAGGAACTGAATTATGATCTCTAACAACATAAAAAAGTCAAGTGTTGTAGCATGTGACTACATTCCAGTGCTGAGTACACAGAGAAAAAAGAGATCCTGGAACATATTAAACAGATACTCTAGCGGAATCTTTGAACTCTAGGGTCAATAAGAGATCCTCTCTCGGAAAACAATGTGAAAATGTCTGTGGAGTTTCAACCTCTTGCCATCTCACACACCATTATGCACTCACATATACATCATACCTGTACACAGTTAAGTACACATACATGCACAATCCTCATATGCATTTGTGTACATAGCCATATGTATACCACATGTACATAGACACATAACTAAAAGGTAACCTAAAGAACAGGAAGGAAACATAAGTGTGTGAAATAATTTTCAGTCCCACCGTTAACACAGTGTTGACCATCAAATTGGAAAGTAAAGAATTTGAATTTCACTCTATTTGCAAGCAGGAGTGTTAGCCTCTTTTCATTTCAGCTTCACAAAGTGGAAAGACATTGGTCCTTTGGGTAAGACACAAAGCTTATTATTCACAACAAAATGATTCGTTAGGGCAGTATTTTGTGTCAGTTCTCATTGCTTTGGCAATATGATGGTTCCATGAGACAAAGACAGGAGGAATAAAGGCATTCAGTCTGACTGGTTACAGGAGAGAGATTCTGATTTAAGATACCCTAAACTGGAGGAGAGTTACTGGCAAATCTGTCCTGCACAGGATTGACAGGTACACCCCCAACACACTGAATGTAAACAAATGCCTCATAGACAAAGGAAAACTTCCAGAAAAAATGCAATCTTTAACTCTGGGGATGGGGGCTAATGCTTTTATCTATATAACCCAAATATGTGCCTGTCCTTGCTCTAGAGGGACATTAGCTCTATCCTCTCTATTTCAGGATAATTACACAAGCTTTGTTTAAAGGATAATTTTACAGCAGAAGGAACATGATGTCTGTATTTAAGGGATAGCATAGATAATGGAAGATCGTCTTTCAGAGTAAATGAAGGTGAATACTGAATATCTATGACATTTCAGTGATTTTTATCCTCAAAAACACACATTTGTACATTGGATTCCAAACACAAACATCTGCTATTGGTATGTACTGGATTTCTCATATGCACATAATATTTGGAAATTATTACAAACTCAGCTGAAAACATGTTTAAAACATGAATAGATATCAGTACAGTTTATATTATTGGATTCAGTAGGCTATCATAAATCCAGGGTAAATTAGAAAAATATTTAAAGTTTTATAAACCATACTGTTTACTGTTTTCTCTTATTTAGATCAAATTTAAAAGAATGTCTTATATAAAACAAGAATGATGATGAAATACAATTGTAATATCTGCACAATAGAAACCATGAAGAAGCACTTCCTAGAAAACAGACACTAAAATGATGGTAGCTCAAGACTTGTTTTGGATAAGGGAGGAAGATTTATATGTATGAAGACATATATATTTAAATACATAAAGCAAAATACTGGTATGTAATGAGAATGATGAGAAAAGAAAAGTCAGATGAATATGTGGGTTACCTCAAACCATGGGATTATGGGCATGAGCCACAGGCAGTTAATTTTTCTCTCTTTTATTTTTGAAAAAAATTAAATTAGAAAAAAACTTGTTTTACATGTCAATGCCAGTTCCCTCACCCTACCCTCCTCGTTTACCCTAACCAACCCAATATCCCATCCTCTTTCTACTCCACAGGGAGGGTGAGGCCTTCATAGAGGTTCTTCAAAGACTATCATACCATTTGAAAGCAGGGCCTAAGCCCTCCCCTGTGTGTCTAAGCAGCGAGAGTATCCCTCTGTGTGGAAATGGGCTCTTAAAGTCCATTGTTTTATTAGGGATAAATACTGATCCACGACCAGAGGCCCCATAGATTGCCCAGGTATCCTATCTGACACCGGCATTCATGGGTTCTGGATAGGTCCTATGCTGGGTTTCCAAGCTATCAGTCTGGGGTCAATGAGCTCCCGCTTGTTTAGGTCAGCTGTTTCTGTGGGTTACTCCAGCGTGGTCTTGACCCCTTTGCTCATCTGTCCTCCCTCTCTGCAACTGGATTCCATGAGTTCGGCATAGTGTATAGCTGTGGATGTCTGCTTCTGCTTCCATCAGCTACTGGATGAAGGCTCTAGGATTGAATATAAGGTAGTCATCAATCTCATTATTGGTGAAGTACATTTAAGGAAGCCTCTCCACTATTGCTTAGATTGTTAGTTGGTGTCATCCTTGTAGATCTCTGGATATTTCCCTAGTGCCAGATTTCTCTTTGAACCCATAATGGCTCCCTGTATTATGGTATCTCTTATCTTACTCTTCTCTATTCCACCAATTAATCTTCTTGCTTCCTCACATCCTGCTCTTCCCTCCTCATCTCCCCTAACTCCCTCTCCCCTCCTGCCATGTTTGGAATTAATTCAGGAGATCTCGTCCCTTTCCCCATCTCCAGAGGACCATGTATGTCTCTCTTAGGGTCCTCCTTGTTTCCTAGCTTTTATGGCAGTGTGTATTATAGGTTTTCATACCATGTTTGTCCTTTTGTGACTGGGTTACCTCACTCAGGATAGTTTCTTCTAGCTCCATCCAGTTGCCTGAGAATTTCAATATTTCATTGTTTTTTTTTCTCACTGAGTAGTACTCCATTGTGTAAATTTTCCACATTTTCTTTATCCATTCTTCATCTAAGGAGCATCTAGGTTGCTTCCAGGTTCTGCCTATTACAAGTAATGTTGCTGTGAACATAACTGAACAGATGCCCTTGTTTTATGAATGTGTATATGCCTAAGAGTGGAATTTCTGGATCTTGTGGTAGACTGATTCACAATTTCCTGAGGAACTGCCATAATGATTTCCAAAGTGGCTGTATGAGTTTGCACTCCCACCAGTATTCCCCTTTCTCCACATCCTCTCCAGCATAAACTGCCATTGATGTTTTTGATTATAGCCATTCTAATTGGAGTAAGATGCTATCTCAGAGTTGTGTTTGTTTGTAATTCCCTGATGGCTAATAATGTTGAACACTTTCTTAAGTGTCTTTCACCCATTTTAGATTCCTGTATTGAGAATTGTCTAATTAGTTCCATATCCTACTTTTTTATTAGATTATTTGGTGTTTTGGTGACTAGCTTCTTACGTTCTTTGTATATTTTAGAAATCAGACCTGTATCAGAAGTGGGGTTGGTGAATATATTTTCCCATTCAATGGGCTGTCATTTTGCATTGTTGACTGTGTCTTTGCCTTACAGAAGCTTCTCAGTTTCAGGAGGTCCCATTTATTAATTGTCAATCTCAGTGTCTGTGCTACTGGTATTATGTTCAGGGAGTTGTCTCCTGTACCAATTCCTTCCAGGGCACCTATCACTTTTTCTTCTAAGAGGTTCAGTGTGAATGGATTTAAGTTGAGATCCTTGATCCATTTGGACTGAGGTTTTGTGTGTGATAATAGATATGGATCTATCTGCAGTCTTCTACATGCCAGCATCAGTTATGCCAGCACCATTTGTTGAAGATGCTTTCCTCTTTCCATTGTATAGTTTCAACTTGTTTGTCAAAAATCAGGTGTTCATATGTGTGTGGGTTAATATCATGGTTTTCAATTCAATTACATTGTTCTAGCTATCATTTTTTTTATATATTTTGATGCAGAGTCTCTCTAACTTGACCAAGCTGGATTTGAATTTATGACCTTCTTTAATCAGCCTCCAATGTAATTGTGATTTCAGATATTCTTCAAGGATAGACTAAGGTATTAGTTGTTAATATTTTAAGTTATAATTACATTTCTCCCCCTTTCCTTTCCCCTATACTGCCTTCTACTTACTCTGTCCCAAGTTAATTAGCTCTTTTTAATTGTGGACACACACACACACACACACACACACACACACACACACACACACACACTACTGAGTATACAAATAACATTTTCATAAAAAGTTTAAAAATAAATATGTACTAAATTTTATTCTGAAATATATTTTGATTAAATTCTACTATTTGGATTTTCTTTACCTTCCTATTCTCACTCATTATATTTTCATACTCTGCTATTCTGGATATTATAATCGATTGTATATTTGCAAGATAATTTTATATTACAGATTATTGGTCAGGAATTTAGAAAATTAAAGTGCCGTAGATTTTTTACACTAAACCTAGCAATGCTTTTGTCAACAAAGGACCTCACTACACTATTGATGGTCTGTCACTCATAGATTTCCCTTTCTTGTTACAATATTTGGCCAGATGATTAAAATCAAAGAAAAAAGAAAGAAAGAAAGCAAAGTCCCATTGTTCAATCTGTGCTTATTTCAGGAACTTCATCCCTAATGCCCCTCAGCAAAAATGCAGAAATATTAACCTTTACTCTTCCAGTAATCCCCACCCACTTTCATTGTTCACCCATTGAACTTCTTTGTTTGTTTACTTCAGGTCCACCCCAGCAACTCCAATTACATGAGTGTTGTCATTTGAATATAGAATCATGCCTAGAGGTGGATGTGCTTTAAAAACCTTAACCTCCAACTGGTGCTGCTGTTTGGGAAAGTTATGGAAGGGATAGGATGTGAAGCCCTAATGCTGGAGGCAGGCCTCAGTTAATTTAGAGTCTGGCCATATTTTTTATTTGTTTCTGTTTCCCAGCTTCAGGTGAAATATGATCAGATGATCCCCTGCTGGTGCTGCTAGATTTTGTCATGATGGGATGATTCCCTTCAAGACAGAAGCTAGCAGGTTCAAGGCCCATGCACTGGGGAGGGCTGGTTCTACCCCTTACCATTTGAGTAGCAGAGTTGGTTCTGTCTCTCTCTCTTGAGGGGGTTGATTCCAGCAACCAGGACTGACCAACTCAGCTTTCAGTCAGGCAAAGATGCAGGGCTTTGAGCTGGCACTCTTTAACATCTCTATATGTGACCTCTAGAAAAAGTGAAGGAACTGGTTAGGTGGAACCATAGCTACAGGTTCCCCATGACTTTGTCAACAGTCAGATATCTGAGAGAAGATTCAGTGACAGTCCAGTAGTGGTAGTATACAAAAAGAAGGAAGAGACCTTGAACTTGACCAACAGCACATTGCTCAATGAAAATTTGCAAGGGAAGTTGTGAGAAAAAAGATACATGATACTCCCAGTGACACTAGGAAAACTAAAGAGATGATTTAGAGCTGGGAAAGACAGAAGAGAGGAGTGTCTTTTTTGTTTATTTGATTTTAATTAATAATCATATTTACATTTTTATTTATTTTTAATTTTTATTAAATTTTCCATTAGGAAGAGATGCTACAGGGGAGAATATGGAGGGACTGGAGGGTAGAAGGGTTTTAGTATGAATGATATAAAATTCCCAGAGTCAATAAATAGAAGATTTGGCTAGTCACTCTCTCCATAACTCTTGAAGTTCTAACTAGAGTAATAAGACAAAAAAGGAGATCAATGGAATAAGATTTGGAAAAGAAGTCAAACTTTCACTATTTAGAGATCATATGATAGTTTACTTAAGTGATCAAAAAAAAAAAAAACTCTAACAGGGAACTACTACACTGATAAATACCTTCAGCAAAGTGGCTGGACATGAGATTAACTCAAACAAACAAACAAACAAACAAACAATACAAACCAGTAGCTCTACAGATGATAAATGGGCTGAGAAAGAAATCAGAGAAACATCAAACTTCACAATAGCCAAAAATAACATAAAATATCTTGGGGTAACTCTAACCATGCAAGTGAAAGACATGTATATAAGATTTTTGAGCTTTAGAGAAGGAAATTAAAGAAGATACCAGAAAATGGAAATATCTCCCATGCTCTTGGATAGGTTAGGAAAACATAGTAAAAATGGCAATCTTGCCAAAAGCAATCTACAGATTCAAGGCTATACCCATCAAAAGCCCAGCGCAATTCTTCACAGAACTTGAAAGAAAAATTTGCCACTTGAAATGGAAAAACAAAAGACACAGGATAGCCAAAACAACCCTGTACAATAAAGGAACTTCTGGAGGCAAAACCATCCATGACTTCTAGCTCTATTATTGAGCTATAGTGCTTAAAACAGCTTGGTATTGGCACAAAAATATACAGGTTGACCAAGGGAATCGAATTGAAAACCCTGATATTAACCCACACACATATGAACACCTGATTTTTGACAAAGATGCTAAAATTACACAATGGAAAAAAGAAAGCTTCTTCAACAAATTTGTGCTGGCATAATTGGATGCTGGCATGATAGATCCATAACTGTTGCCATGAACAAAACTTAAGTCCAAATAGATCAAAGAACTCAACTTAAATCCAGCCGCACTGAAGTGTTTAGAAGAGAAATTAGGTGGTACCCTCCAAAGTATTGGTACAGGAGACCACTTCCTGAACATAACCCCAAGAGCAGAGACATTGAGATTGACAATAAATGGGACCTCCTGAAACTGAGAAGCTTCTTTAAGGCAAAGGACACAGTCAACAATACAAAATGGCAGTCCACAGAATGGTAAAATATATTTACCAACCCAAGATCTGACAGAGGGTTTATTTCTAAAATATACAAAGAACACAAGAAGCTAGTAACCAAATACCAAATAATTAAATGAAAAATAGGGTAAAGAACTAAACAGAGAATTCTCAATACAGGAATATAAAATGCCTGAAAGAAAGTGTTCAACATCCTTAGCCATCAGGGAAAAGCAAATCAAAACAACTCTGAGATACCATCTTACTCCTATCATAATGGCTAATCAAAAACACCAAGGACAGTTAATGCTGGGGAGGATGTGGAGAAATGGGAATACTCCTCCACTGCTGGTGGGAGTGCAAACTCATACAACTCTTTGGAAATCAGTATGGCAGTTCCTTAAGAAAATGTGAATCAGTCTACCACAAGATCCAGCAATTCCACTCTTTGGCATATACCCAAGAGATGCACATTCAGAAAACAAGGACATCTGTTCAACTATGTTCATAGCAGCATTATTTGTAATAGCTAGAACCTGTAAGCATCTGAGATGCCCCTCACCTGAAGAATGGACAAGGAAAATTTGTTACATTTACACAATGGAGTACTACTGGGGGGGATGAAATCTTGAAATTCATAGGCAAATGGATGAAATTAGAAGCAACCTTCCTGAGTGAGTTTACCCAGTCACAAGAAGACCAACATGGTATGTACTCATATATAAAGAGACATACATGGTCCACCAGTAAAAGGCGAAAGGAACAAGATCTCCTGAGCTAATTGGAACCATGCGGGGGAAGAGAGAAGGAGTTAGGAGAAAGAGAAGGAAAGAAGAGGAGGAGAGAGGAGAACATGAGAGAGCAAGAAGTTCAAGTCAGGGGAAAAATAGAGGAGAGCAAGTAAAGAGATACCATAATAGAGGGAGCTATTCTAAGTTTAAAGAGAAATCTGGCACTAGGGAAATGTCCAGAAATGTACAATGTTGACCCCAACTAACAATCTAAACTATAGTTTAGAGGCTACCTTAAATTCCCTTTTCAATAATGAGATTGATGACTGCCTTATATTCCATCCTAGAGCCTTCCTCCAGTAACTGATAAAAGCATAAGCAGACACCCACAGCTAAACACTGAGCCGAATTCTGGAATCCGGTTGCAGAGAGGGAGGAGTGATGAGCAAATGGTTCAAGACTAGGATGGAGAAACTGACAGAAACAGCTGACTTGAACAAGGGGGAGCTCATGGACCCCAGACTGATAGCTGGGAAACCAGCATAGGACTGTGGCAGACTCCTTGAAGGAGGATGTCAGTTTGGAGTTCTTGTTAATCTATGTGGTCTCTATTAGTGGATCAGTATTTATCCCTGATACAGGGATGGACTCTGGCAGCTCACTCCACATGGAAGGATGCTCTCTCAGCCTAGACACACAGGGGAGGGTCTAGGCCCTGCTCCAAATGATATGATAGACTTTGAAGATCCCCCATGGTAGGCCTCACTCTTCCCTGGGAAGCAAAAAAGTGGATGGGTTAGGGGGCCTTTGGGTGGCCGCAGGGGAGGATGGAGGGTGGGAGAGGGAACTGGGATTGACATGTAAAATAAGCTTGTTTCTAATTAAAATAAAAAAATAGTAATAAATAAATAGATGATGTTTTAAAATGTATTTAGTGAACTAACAAGAAAATGTCAGCCATTATCTTATGTTGCCCTCCACTGCTTATACAATATAAGAAAAATAGCAAGTTCTACTGTACTATGTTTCATCTTGCAAATAATTTCTTGTATCAGAAGTTTTTCTCAATCACTAATGCTGTCATACTTGTTCTGCCCATTGTCAATACCAACCTGAATTAGATTCAGCTTTTGAAACAGATTTGTGTCTGTCAATCTTATGACTTTCCTATTTACTTAGGCACACTCTCTAATGACTGCCTTTTAGAATATCACCACTCCTTTACCAGTAAAGCATTAATGAGAGCCCTCTAATTTACATAAGATTAAAACTTCACAATTTTTTAAATACAATTTCCACTTTTTTTTTTTTTTTTTTTTTTTGGTTTTTCGAGACAGGGTTTCTCTGTGTAGCTTTGGAGCCTATCCTGGCACTCGCTGTGGAGACCAGGCTGGCCTCAAATTCACAGAGATCCACCTGTCTCTGCCTCCCGAGTGCTGGGATTAAAGGTGTGCGCCACCAACGCCCGGCTACAATTTCCACTTTTTATGGCTTCCTCTTCACACCATCTTTCTATTCCATCCACACATGCTTCTTTTCTGCTTCTTAGACTGGTTATTTCATCTACAACTCAGACACAAGACATTGTATCCAAAGTGTTATTCCACATCTTCTGGACTCATTTGTGAACTATGAAATATTTCCAAACCAATTGGTCAATAGTCCATGATCTGAACCCCTTTTGTACCTAACTCTTGCTCCTGATCTTCTAGATACTTCTTAGCACCTTCCCTACTCTATTAATTTAATTAACAATTAAATAGTTCGTGTTAGCTGAACCGAAGCTCTTAGGCCGTATTGTTGTTCAGTTGTATTGTTCTTTGGCTAATATCTATTTTTTATTAATGACCATAACAAGTGTACTCTTTTCTAGGCAATGCCATTGGTTATTTCATGAGACCAGATCTGTTATATCCTTTGGGATAGGGCCTAGACCCTCCCCCATGTGTCTAGTCTAAGGGAGTATCCCTCTATGTGAAATGGCATCCCCAAGTGAATTAAATTATCAATTCATTATGTCCTTTTTATAAGAAACCAATCCTGTTTGCCTGTATGAACATGAGAAACATTAGCAATATTGCCCTGAGCATCCAGCCAGGGTACCATTATTAATATTCACATTCAACCCAAATAAATCTTACTGGAAATTGTAAAGATTGTAGTTTTCAAAAACACATAGCTTTATTCAATTCCTTTCCAATGATGTTAATTCTTTGCCAACTCTGATCTTCTATAACAAGTGAACTTTTCATAAATGAGGAAAGAGGCTAAGGATATTTCTTTTTCTTCAGAATCTGTGTACAATGTTCATGATTTTTATTGTTATTCATTCACATTGTATTAAATATAGAACATAGATTGGCTCTCTTTAAGAGAGAATGTAAGGGCCAGCAAGATGGCTCAACACATAAAGGCACTTTCTGAAAAACACAAAAATCTGAATTCATTCCCAAAGCACACATGGCAAGAAAGAAATGATTCCCACAATTGTCCTATGACTTCCACATTCATGCCATGCCATATGAGTGCACACATGGACCCTTACACAGTAAATAAATAATATACTATAAAAAGAAAACATTATGTTCACTACCCAATAGCTACATAATTCTCCTTCCACAGAAAAAATCAGACTCAATTTGTTTGACCATATGTCTGCTCAGAATATAATCTAGCATTCCCAGTGTATATCATAGAAAAGCATGATAATGTTATTCAATTCCAGCCAATGTGCATAAGGA